TGGCTGTCCCAGACTGAGGCTGCTCCGCAGAGGCAACCCATAAACCTCCTGTTTCCTTCCCCACAGCCTCCTGGGAAACGCAGTTCTGTCCTCTTCAGTAGAAATGTATCCATATATCTGCTCTGTACTACAATCTCCACAATCTGTGCTCTCTGGCTCCACCTGCAGCTGCAATATCTTTCCTCTTAAAGAACCTGACACCACAATAGGGCTACATTCTCCCCCTACTTAAAGTCTTTGGGTCCCTCCAAAGAGTAAACCGTATTTGTAAGCTCTACAGACAGCATATACAGTATAAAGGCACATATAAAGTTTATACTAAGCCACTTGAATACCTTTACTGCGTGCAGAGAGATGCAGTTCATGACAGCGTCTAGCAAGTGGAGTGAGTAGAGGGAACCTCCACCAAGGTGTGCTGATGGCCTGGGTTGGACTCAAGTCCTTTGATACCTCTGTGGTCAGGGTGGACACCTCGGGTGATCTTCGCACAGTAGTCACAGCTTCCTCTGTACTATTCCCTGGTGAGTCATAAGTGAGTCTCTGAGGGGGTCGCACCGGTCGTTTGGACCTTGATTCTAAAAGCCATGATGGGCCCTCATCTGTGGAGTCCTCTTCTACTTGAAGTGTTGGCTGAGAGGATTCAGTTTCCTCTTCGACTGGCTGAACAGGGGCATCCTCTAGCACTGAGGTTTCTGGCAAGAGACTTTCCACTTGAGAGGGTACAGAATTATCTTCCATGGGCATATCCTCGTTTGCTTGAGGCACAAATTCAGGGGCATCTGGTCTCAAATTGCTCAAGTCCTGCTCAGGAGCCATAATAGTTGGATTGACATCCATAGGTTCAGATAGCCACATCCAACTCGGACACACGTCTTCCTCATCACTGTCATCCTCACTCTCTCTTGTAGAAGGTGGCTGTTGGGACCGGGTAACCGGTGCTTGACGGGAAGTGGATGGAACGGGCGGAGAAGACTCGTCTCTAACTGGTACCCGTACAGCTTCATTCAGAGGTAGGAGATGATTCCGATGCCAATTCTTCAGTGGCCCGGTCTTTCCCTCTGGTCGAATCTGGTACACTGGCAGGCCAGGTAATTGTTTACAGACGATGTAGATCTGAGAACTCCATCTATCAGCTAGTTTGTGTCTTGCAGACGCACCCAAATTTCTCAACAAAACTCGATCACCTGGCTGTAGGTCCTGTACCCGAACCCTCAGGTCATAGTTTCGTTTGTTTCTTTGTTCTCTACTCTCAGAGGTCGAACGGGCCTTCTCAAATGCAGAAGCCAGGTTCCTCCTGAGTCTATCCACATAGCCCTGATGAGAAGCAATAGACGTCTGGTCAAGGGAGAGGCCAAAAGCTATATCTACTGGCAATCGGGCTTCTCTTCCAAACATGAGGCGGTACGGTGAATATCCTGTAGCATCACTTTCTGTGCTATTGTAAGCATGCACAATGGTAGAGATATGTCGACTCCAGTGCTGTTTCTCTTTGGTAGACAATGTTCCCAACATATTCAGTAGAGTACGGTTGAATCTCTCCGGTTGTGCATCACCCTGAGGGTGATAGGGGGAGGTTCTTGACTTCTGAATCCCCAATAGATCCAAGAGCTGCCTGATGAGTCGACTTTCAAAATCCCTGCCTTGATCAGAATGGATTCTCTGAGGTAGACCATAATGAACGAAGAACTTTTCTACTAGGACCTTGGCTACAGTAGGAGCACGTTGGTCTTTGGTTGGAAAAGCTTGAGCATAACGGGTAAAATGGTCTGTCACCACCAGGATATTTCCCTGTCCACTAGTGTCAGGCTCTAAGCACAGGAAGTCAATACACACCAGGTCCATGGGTCCTTGACTCTGTAGATGGCTCATTGGAGCAGTCCTAGAAGGTAAAGTTTTCCTCTGGATACATCTTAGACAGGAATGGCAGTAGCTTTCAACTTCGGATCTCATGCAGGGCCAATAGAATCTGTCTCGGACCAGTTTAAAAGTTCTCTCTGCTCCTAAGTGACCATGGTCATCATGCAAAGCTTTGAGCACATTTTCTCTATGCTTCTCGGGGAGGAACAACTGCTGCTTCTCTTCTAAGCCATCCGAGGGGCCCCTTCGGTAGACCACCCCGTCTAGCAGTTTCAACCGTTCCCACTCTTTGTGGACCAGACGAGCCTCTTTTGGTGAATCAGTTAACAGGAGCCCTCTTTGACCCGCTTTCATTGCTCTTAGGGTTAACCCAATCAAAGGATCCTCAGCCTGATCTACTCTCAGGTCCTTCTTCGTGAAGGTAGGCAGGCCCTCACTCCTCATCTGTGTAGGGTTGCAATACAGTCTAGGGACACCCGCAGCCATGACTCCTATGGCCTCTGCTCCAATTACTCCTTTGGTTCGGTATTCCACCCCTTGGCATAGGGCTTGAACTCCATCTGGAGTCAAATGAGTCCACTCTGTTTCTTGGGCCACTGTGCTATAGGGCCTTCTGGATAAGGCATCCGCGTCTTGGTTACTAACTCCAGGACGATATTTGAGGCTGAAGCGGAATCCTGACAGGGCAGCCAACCACCTGTGTCCGGTGGCATCCAGTTTTGCTGTGGTAAGAATGTAAGTGAGTGGATTGTTGTCGGTTCTGACCACGAAATTGGCCCCGTACAGGTAGTCTTTTAGTTTGTCCACCACTGTCCACTTCAAGGCCAGGAACTCCAACTTGTGAGTGGGATAATTCTTCTCAGAAGGGGTGAGACCCCGACTCACATATGCCACCGGTCTCAGGAGGCCATCATATTCCTGGTATAGTACTCCTCCTAGCCCTTCTCTGCTAGCATCCACATGTAGTTCATAAGGTTTGGCAGGATCAGCGTAGGCAAGGACAGGAGCCTGTGTTAGACTTCCTTTCAATTGGAGGAAAGCTCTCTCACATTGGTCGGTCCATTCCTCCTGGATTGATTCACGAGGCTTCCTAGGCCCGTGGGCTGATGAACCCGGCTCAAAGGGCATTGATTCATCTTCTGCTCCTTCCATTCTTAGAAGTTTGTTCAGGGGCTGAGCTATCTTGGCAAACCCCTCTACGAACCTTCTATAGTATGAGCAGAATCCCAGGAAGGACCGGAGTTCAGTAATATTACGAGGTCTCGGCCATGAAGCCACAGCTTCCAACTTTTTTGGATCAGTTGATATGCCTTCTGCTGAAACGACATGTCCCAGGTACGTGACTGAAGGCAGACAGAATTGACACTTCTCCAAGGAAAGTTTCAATCCTTCTTCATGGAGCCGCTTTAAGACCTTTTCCAACCGCTGTTCATGTTCTTCCAGTGTTCTTCCGAAGACTATTACGTCATCTAGATACACAAGTACCTCAATCAGGTTCATGTCTCCCACCGTCTTTTCCATTAGTCGTTGGAAAGTTGCGGGAGCTCCGGTGAGGCCTTGGGGCATTCTATTAAACTCAAAGAACCCCAACGGACAGATGAACGCAGTCTTTTCTTTATCTTCAGGATGCATGGGTATCTGGTGGTACCCACTTCGCAGGTCCAGTACACTGAACCACTTTGCTCCAGACAAACACTGTAATGCATCTTCTATTCGAGGAGTAGTGTATTGGTCGGGAATGGTTCTTTGGTTGAGTGTGCGGTAGTCTATGCACAAACGGATGGAACCGTTTTTCTTGCGAACTACCACAATGGGGGAGGCATAAGGGCTCCTGGATTCTTGGATTATCCTGGTTCTTTTCAATTCAGCCAGCTGTTCCCTTAGGTCATCCAGATCTCCCAATGGGACTCGTCGTGACCTTTCTCGAAAGGGCTTGTCGTCTTGGAGACGAATGCGGTGTTGAGTACTTTTAGCACATCCCACATCAAACTCATCCTTGGAGAACAAATCCTGCCACTTGAGGAGTTGAGATTGAATTCGTTTCTTCCACTCAGGCGAGATAGGAGCATCTTTAGGATAGAACCGTTCCGCTGGGATCTCTCTGTCTACACCCCCCACCAATTTAGTGGGTGAGAGGGGTGTAGCAGTGACCACTTGTCCAATCAGCATCCGTGCCTTCAAGGTCACTGGGGAGTCTGACACATTGCATACACTTACAGAGACTCTCCCACGGGTCCGCTGTAGGGCTCTTGTGGATATTATCTCAGGCACCAATTCCACTCCAGATTTCATCACATTTCTGGGATCAGTCTCCAGGACCACATAGGGGCCTGGTTGTGACCAATTCAACTTGACTGAGGCCCGGAAACTAGTCATTTCTCCTGGCTGTAGGACCTTCTCTTTTCCTGCTAATCTCCAAAGCCGTCCCACTTCTGCAGGGGCCCTCTGTTCTTGAATAATCCGCTGGTAGATTGGCCGCAACATCGGGTGCATCTCCTCAGAAGTAGAACTCTCTTCCGTCACTAATGGAGTTATAAGGCGTCTCACCAATTCAGTATTCGTCCCCACAATCATAGAACTCCGATTAGCTCCTGGTGGACGGGGACATACAATGGCCAAGGCGTCACAGACCCCTGGTTGTCCGATAGTTGCCGAACTAAATTCCAGCTTTACTTGTAGGCACCCATCATGTGGAAGCTTCTCAGCCCCAATACCCCAGATTTCGAGATCCTCTAACTCCATCAGGGGTAGATGCTTCAAATGCTTCTGGTAGAAGTCCCGGTAAATCAGTGTTACTTGAGCACCTGTATCGAGGAGAGCCTTTGTGTAGACCCCTTCTACTTGAATTGGGATAATGGGTGAAGGACCTATCAACTTGTCAGGGAACTTCTTCGGAGTAGTAGAAGGCATAGACCCAGTCGGCTGCACTCTAGCCTTCTTCCTAGCTCGTGGTGGTTGTTTTCTTCCCCCTACCGGGTGTTTAGGTTGTGGGTGTGCATTGCTTCCCTGTGACACAGGACCAGACGCCCAGGGAGAGGATCTTTTTGTCGTAGCAGGTGAGGCTCTGGGTAAAGACTTGGGCCTCTTATTGGTATCTTGGGAATCAGAGCAGTCTTCAGTAGTTGGGCACCCAGTTTGCTCCCTCACTGGGGCCCTCTGAAGTTTCCCGCCGGTAGATAACTTCCTCTTGAATTCGATGGACTCGGACAGGTACTTCGGTAATGACCCACTCCTCCACAGTTATAGCAGATGTTTGACGGTTTCTTGATAGGCACCACCTGAGTGGTAGAATCAGGAACTGGTTCTGAAGTGACTTTTTCAAGGGGCGACTTGACACCTGCAGACAATAGGGTTAGCATTTGCGTCAGCTGGGAAACTTGAGCCTTTAATTGCTCTATTTCTGAATTCCCATTCGACACATTGAGCGTTCGGACCTCAGCAGGAAATGAAAATCCTGAGCCCTTCTTTTTCTCCTCTAGGATAGCCTCTTCCTCCCTCACCATCTTAATGAGATCAGAGTATCGCAAAGAGGTACCTCCTTGTAAAGTCTTCAACTGGATCCAGATAGGGTCAGAACTCAGAGCGCCTCTCAGGATCTGTTTCATTCTTACTTGATCCATATCCATGGGCTCTATTCCTTTCTTTAGTACAATCTGGTATAGCATTTTGTTTAGTCGTCGAATATAATCAGAAAGCTGCTCATTTTCCCGTTGAAACATGTGTTCAAATAGGAAGATTAAATCTGTAGCTTTCTCTGTGCGCCCAAACTCATCTTGCAGCATGCGAAGATAGTCATATGCTGTACAAGACTCCTGACTGAATTTCAAATTTCGGATGGCTTCTGCTGCAACGCCTTTCAGACTTTCAGTGATGCGTTGTTTCTTTTGAGCCTCTGGAACATCCCATTCCTCCAGTGCTTGCATAGCCTGTTCCATCCAGGTTTCATACTCTTCTTCTCCAGGAGGTACAGGCTGCCCTCCAGAAAAGATTCTCAACTTCCTGTAGCCATAGTTCACAGATGGCGAGGAAATTTTTATAACGCTCTCTACCAGTTTTCCTATGTCCATGAAGAAGGAAGCTGGGGGGTAGTTAGTGGTTGGCACAGAAGTGGTAGTTACTTCCACTGTGTCTGACATGGTCTGGCTTGGTCCCTCTAAACAACTTGCTGAGGTGACTAGAGGGAGTAACCGTGCTTTAACTTCTCCGGTCAGCTGTATGCTATCACCCTGGAAGCAGGTTGGGACTCCTTTCTTCCATTCTAGTAGGGCATAGGTATGGGAGACTTCTTGATCTATTTTTGTGTCTATTACAAACACTTTCTGGTCAGGTGCTAGTGTAGTTACTGCTTGACGGATCTGTTCCTCTGTCCATTTGTCAGCCGGAATGTCGATTACTACACTCAGCCCTAATTGACCATTTTGTTCCTTGCACCACTCTGCTGCTGTGTTTGGATCCATTGCTGGCTCGTTTGTGCGGTTATCACTTTGCATGAGGTATCAGAAGATATCCCGGACGAGAACCCCCACGTGTAGCGCTCACCCCCGAAGGAGCCGCTGGATGATCGGGTCTTCTGTTTCACCTCTGTGACACACCACAAGCAATGAACCCACAGCACACCAGCACACCTTGTGAAGTTTTATAACAGATTTAATGACTATGGAATAGAACAAACACTTAACGGCTCCCCAATCACCTGTAATACAACCAATAACAGGATAAGGCAATCTGACACGCAGCAGCAATCTATTGCATGCAGGAAAGCCTGCAATGTCAGAATGTCTCAGATAATATACTTAGATTGAATGCAATCAACATTAATATCTTTACTTAAAAGTATCTATCCCCCGCTAAACTACTGGCCAGTAGTATTGTCCTAGGCTAGCCAACGTTGGGGCCCTTGCTGTATAGCAGATGTGAACAATAAACAGGGTGTCACTGCGGCCAAAGGCCTCTCACCACTCCTCAGATCAAATGGGAAGAGATGAAGTCTGCTGGTGGAAGCTGGGTGTCCTCTCTCTCTCTAGTCGACTCTGGGAGGAAGGTGAAGTCATCTGGGTCCCTTGTAAGAAGTTTTCACTCATTCAGGAGACTGGCAGTCCTCTCGGTCGTCTCCATCTGGCTACTCCCTCTCAACTGGGCTGGCTGGATAACCCCGGTGGCTGGTTCGGCCTTGCGGCTAGGCCTCGACATCACCGGTCCTCACTTCAGCCACTCAGCGGGTCCTCCTGATTCAGCAACTCAGGTCAGTCTCTCAGTACACCGCTGCACAGAGCCTGTGTGTCCCTGTATGTCAGCGGTGACCACACAGCTCTATTGCACACAGTCTTAACCCAAACAGGGTAACACAGGTCTATCCTCTTCAGATGGCTGTCCCAGACTGAGGCTGCTCCGCAGAGGCAACCCATAAACCTCCTGTTTCCTTCCCCACAGCCTCCTGGGAAACGCAGCTGCAATATCTTTCCTCTTAACTGCCTCCCGGCCAGCCGTTGTACTTACACAGCCTGCCGGGACCTTCTTGGATGTAAGCGGGCGTGCTAGTACGTCCTGCCCCGCCCCCCGCTCAGGCGCGCCCCCCGCGCGCGCACGAGCCGCTTACTGTGCCCGCACTGTCCATTGGACAGTGCTGTTTCCATAACAAGGTATAGAGTCAGTGAAATCTGCTCTATACCTTGCGATCTGGCTGTGCCAAATCACAGCTGTCAAAAAAGTAAACAATGGCTGCGGTTTGCAGCCTTGTCTCCATCTCCTCTCTCACAC